GTCCAAACACCCATCACGATGATGGCATTTTCTAAACTAGCTGCAGGCAACAAGGAATTTCCTCAGTGGAAATTTCATGGTTTTTGCAGAATGTTCTTCGATTTGAAGCTGCCAATTGCAAGAAACATTATTTTTTTATCAAGGTATAAGATGAAGTGTAAACTTATTTCTTTATGCTCACAAGCTTTTGGTCCACAATCATCATGTTTTTAAAGGGCAGCTTTTTTAGGTGCATAGTGCATACTGTTTGCAAAAATTGTTGGCACTCACTGAATAGACCCATTGCACATGAAGTCCCAGCACTGGTGACAATGCATCTGGAGGACAAATTAGCCATCTATGCATTATATAATTTTTGTAAACAAAGCAAATTTTGTAAAACTTTATAATAATTTTGTACTAAAATGGTTCATTTTTGCACTGTATTTAGCTGTTGTACCTGAACAGATATTGTTATGGAGCATCTGGAGAACACTCTAGGATTTGTGACATCAGTGCAATGGGTCCATACAACGTACGCACACAGTAATTTAATCTGGTGTTGTTTGAAACATACTTTAGCTAAAATAACAACTTGAACAAGAAGACCAACAATGGGGTCACGAAAACAGTCGAAATTGTGCCCAAATTTGCATAAACAATTTGTCTAAAAAGATAAACTTTAAACTAGATTCAACCAACATTAATGCAGTCGAATTTTGTGAGTGTTTGATCGCATATTTCTACTAAAAAATACCCTTTAAAAAATCGTATCTGCTCACTTGTGTTCCGTGTTCATCTTTCTTGTGATTTCCGACTTCTATTTTTAATAAAGTTTGGAGAAATCCTCATCTTTTTGGCTGAAAATGTCGCGCATGGTTCACAGAAGAACTTGGCCCCAAAACGTCAATACATTCGCTTTCCTTCCATGCCAAATTTTTGTTGTAGATGATTAAAAAATCTCTTCTTTTCTTGCTTTTAAAACTTGCTGTAAAATATTTCTTTGCAACAGTATCGCCATTATTCATTATTCATTATTTTTGAAAAACTAAGGTTTTAAACTTGAAAAACTTTGCGAGTTTCTGACCGATTTTCTTGCATGATACACCGTTGAAAAGCTCGAATTTCATGTTCTATTTTCGTATAATTCGTCAAATACCATGCCCGCAAGTTAAGGTGTCATGTCAGGGTGCATTCGGGCGCATTGTCTGTTACCCACATGTCAATCTCAGGGGGCATACGGGCGCATTGGGCGTTAATGAGTTAAAGTTTAAACGAGGAGATAGCCAACATGTAAACGTGTTTTAATACATGTCTAGCACAACGCCAACGGTGCAAACTTGTGTTCAGTACAAAGAGAATTCTACCACACATACAAGGATCTATCTGTATCAAAGCTTGTCAAACTGCTATAAACACTGCTACAACTGTGAAACTATTAAAATCTATCGTAACATTGTTGAATACATGCGAAAAGCAGAAAGTGACTGATGAAACACAATGTGACCTTGAGAACAAGTCAAAGGTCAATGAGGCTTGTTATTGTGATTTGTGAACAAGTCACAATTAGGTTAAAATGTGGAAGCGGATGTGCAACTGTGCGGATCCCATGGAACGGATAAGAGGATAAAATGCGGAACAGATGGGGATAAAATGTGAGTGTTTTCGCCTCCCTTTTACGTTTCTGTGTCTTCGATTTATATTTTTGTAATGGAATGCAATGTCGTAGTGCTTGTTATATAACATAACATATCTTATACAGCCATTTCAACTAAAGTTGTCACTGTGGCAATAGTCAAATGTGCAATATGGGTGCTAGAAGGATGATTGGAATAATCATAGTTTTAAAATAAATTTAGCATATCAGTAACCTCGTGGGGATATTTTTAGCGACAGCTGCCAATGCGAATGAAGTTTTGGAAGATTAAAAATTTAGTTGTCGGCGAAGTTCTAGGTTGTCGGCGAAGTTCTAGGTTGTCGGCAACTCTATATAGTTCTTGCAGTGTATTTGTCAATTTGAAACTTTACACTATCCTTGGATCCCTAGTTTTTAATTGAAGGGGAAAATAAACTAAATATAGCCTCTATCTCTACTTACAACTATGATCTGAATTATCTACAGTACAGTAATCATTTATCATTGCCACTACTATATGCTATTCCATGCCAGTATCATTGACCAATATTTTTAACCAATAAGCTTAAACTTGGATGGTTGCTCCTGACCTGGGATAGTTAATGCTTAAACATTAATGGGTTAACATGCAAAATTGAAAAGCGCAGCTTAAATAATAATAAAAACATTCATATATATCCTTGTTGATATTTCACAAATTTTTGTGGGTAGCCTGAAATGTCAGGCATTCTAAGGTTTGATAAATAAACATTCAAGATTTACTTGGCAACTGGCAACAGTGTTACACCAAATTTTGAAATTAAATCCCATTTGTTACCTTCTAGCGTAAATGTTTCCCTTTGCCATTTGCACGTACGTGTGAAGCTTAATTTAAACTCCCTAACATTTCTGGTATGAATCTTATAGATTTGTCAAGCTTGCCCCGTGTGGATATACACTAACGGTAACATTCCAAACATATCACAATACAAACACTGCTAACTATGGTTGACTAACACAACTATGGTTGTGTTAGTAGTGTTTGTATTGTGATATGTTTGGAATGTTACCCTGAGTGGATATCCACACTGGGCAAGCTTGAGAAATATGCCTGGCCACGTTGGGGATTGAACCTACGGCCTTTGGAATACTAGTCCAATGCTCTGCCAACTGAGCTGGCGGTCAGGTCGGTTCGAGTATGTGATATTTTGGAACTGAGTCTAGTTCCTTAGATATAAATGTAATCCAGTAGTCATGACTCATGGTGAATATGATGTTTGTGATGTTACCCTGAGTGTATATTCACACCGGGCATGCTTGAGAAATATGCCTGGCTACATAACACCAAACAGAAAATCATGACTACTGGATTACATTGATATCGAAGGAACTAGACTTATTTCCAAAATATCACATATTCGGACCAAACTAACCACGTAGCTCAGTTGGCAGAGCATTGGGCTAGTATTCCAAAGGTTGTAGGTTTGATTCCCACAGTGGCCAGGTATATTTGTCAAGCTTCCCAATGTGGATATACACTCAGGGTAACATCACAAACATCATATTCACCTAAGTGCATAACACTAGCACAGAAAATTTGGTATTGTAAAATTTGTAAACGTTGTTGTTCAGCCGTTGCAATTTTGAAACATACTGTATATTTTCTCATAGCTGGGTCATTTTGTTTGCTTTTGAATATTACTGTAATTATGTTTAGACCTATAAAGATAGTATTAATAACTTTGGTACATTAGTATGATACAATTCACTAGAACATGTTCTGTTTTAAGTATTTTGTACTTGATCAATTTAAGTTATTTAAAATTTGGGAAGAGCGTATTTCGTAGTTGCTGCGAGTAATTATTTGAGCTGCTCAATTTTGTAAGTATTGAAGTTTATCCTGTAAACCTTTTCTGCAATTATCCCACACAGAACTACAATAATCAAAATGGGGGAGAATTATAGAAGTGTATATGTCAAGTAGCATGTTAATTGGCACCAGATCACAAATGCGTCTTAACATTCCCAGGCCTTGGGAAACTGAACAATGAAAACCCATTGCAAATATAATATCTATGATCACAAGACAAAGTTGCTTTAGGATCACTATTTGATATATGCTTATTATTTCTCTGCATGTATTTTTACGAATTTTCTTATTCTTCAGATTAATGACCAGCGAGCTTATGTCAACGCTAAACATGGATGGGCATCGCGATAAAACATTTAGGAAAGGTGGTGAAAAACAAGAGAAACAGAAAGCAAGAACAGATCAGTAGCATTTATGAACAATATTTATGTTAAATATTTTTCTGTGTATCAATGTATATGTTAAATGAATACATATTTTGAAAAAATGTCCGGCAAGTGTTCTTTTGCTAGGGTGCTAGGGAAAGCCGAAGCCACAACAGGTTGGGTTTGAATTGATGTAAAAACATGCATGTCGAAATGACGTCATTACTCCAACGTCGATTCGATTTGCATTTTCACCTGCTTTTAAACATCGATACAACGTCGAAAAAGAAACATGGAAATGAAATGGATTTCCAGATGTTGAAACGACGTCGATTCATAGACGTTGAAACAACATCGATTTCCAGATGTTGAAATGACATCGATTTCCCAACATCGATTCCGTTTGCATTTTCAACCCTTTTTCCACGGCATCCTCTGACGTCATTCAACGTCGCTTTGCCGGCTGGGAATAATCTGGGAATCAAAAAATATTCGACCCAACTATAGAAGGTCACTTTAGTTATATAATGTTAATGTTGTTTCAGGTGGTTATAAAAACCATTGTGTTGATAATATTGGTGCAAGTATTTCACTTGTGTATACTTTATTTGCCAACACAAAAATTGGCAGAACATATTGCACGTTTTAGTCAAGCTATAGTGTTATATTTTACTCGATTATTAATTTGTTGAGGAAAATATTTATGCACGTCTTTAATAATTAATAAGCAGGCTTAATAAGATTATATATTTCATGAACTCTGGTCGAAATATATGAGAATACAAGCGGGTATAGCTTACCTATTTGTGCTTCGGATCACCTTTTAACACTAGGGGTCACCCCCAAAGTAAACAAAAATGTAGATGTTACACCCCCCTGAAAGGCACCATCCCATAATCCTCCAGTGACTTTTTTTACCTTGTGCTTCGCTCACCAACAGTAAGTTTTTATATAGAAGGTTTTTGGTCGCTTTTTTGTCGTTCTTTGGGCAATTTATTCATTTGTTAGAGGACCCACAGATACCTCTATATATTTTACAAGTTATGTCGAACCATCGTCATCGTAAACGATCTTGTTCGCCGAATCTTTGCATCAAAGGTCGCAGTCGAAGAAACAGAAGTCTGCTCACTCTAGTGATGACAACCAGAAAACGTTGAGTACTATTTTGAGTATGTTAAAGAACCTAAAATCCAACATAAACTTGTGTCCTATGAGAATAGCCAACTTAGAAAACTACATGCCTAACGGCGATTCAGAATCTCTCCAAGAAGACCACGACCTTGAAACTCTCGAACGGGAAAGGGACACGATATCCGTTTTGGCGGGAAACGATTTCGACTGCTCAAATTGGGATCAACAAGATGATTCCGCTTCGCAGTCACCAGTTTTGGCTATTCAGCCACCAAATCCAGCTATTCAGCCACCAAACCCGGCTATTCAGCTTGTCAGCCTTCAACGTCAACACTTAATGTTCAAGCATAGGCTTGCCAACACGATGCAATTCGTAATATGCCTTCGAGGCTATATGACCCTGAGATTTCGGCCGCTTCGTGGTCCCCATCGGATGAATTTACAAATTTTCTGGAAAAACATTTCCGCCTTCAGTTGATGCTCTTATAGCTAGCTCCAACTCTTGACCCTTCCATGATTCAATGTTGCGGTTCAAAACAAAAAATTCTTACAAGAACGCGACAAAGAGATTGAAGTTATTCAACGTGCCATGCTTAACGCTACCAGCCCCATTATGCACATTGCATGATCAACTCGAGCAAGATAATATAAACCTCAAGCCAGCAGATCTCAAATTAATATTGGAACAAACTCTTTGTCTCCTGGGTTCTGCAAATACACAATTGTCTATATTATGTTGCAAGAAAGTACTTGCCTCCATAAACAAATCCAAAATTGAGCTAGCTACTTAACCATTGCCAAATGCTAAGAAATTGCTTTTTGGTGAAGATTTTCCTTCTATCACGTCTAAAGAGGCAGAATTATCCTGTGGTCTCGCCAAGAATTTGGCACCGGTACCTAAGTTTGACAAAACTAAACCCAGCTATGGGTCGCGGGACTCAAGATATCCAGCCTCTTCAAACAATCACAATGTCTTTCCAAATAACAGAAAGTACCAAATTTTTCTCCAAAAGCAAAAGCAGGTTTCTTAAGGAAACAGGGCATCTGCCTAGTCCTGTAGCTGGACAATATGCTCATTGGATCGACCCCACAGGAGACCTGTCTATTCACTCATAGCCATGAATCTCTGGGTTTTATAATAAACAAAGAGAAGTCGGTACTAACCCCAAATTGGATAATCACATTTCTTGGCTTTACGATCAATTCGATAACAATGTTCTTCATTTTGCCCTCAAAAAAAAAAAGGACTGAAAGTTCATTGCGCGAGTTCTCAACAAGGTTGTTTTGGGCAAGACAGAAATTGTCCTAGTGGCCCCACTATGGCAAGCTCAGCCTTGGTGGCCACTACTACTCAGTCTGCTGGTGCAGCAACCAATTCATCTACCAACCTCAACGAAACTTCTGATCAACCCGACAGATCCTCGACAGATTCACTCGATGATCCCACGACTTCACCTGGGCGTGTTTCATATCTCCAGCAACGATATCAAGCAGAAGGCATTTCAAGAAGTGTTGCCAAACTACTCATCTCAGCAACTCGACGTTCCACACACAAAAAAAACAAAACATATGAATCCAGCTGGAAACGCTGGTGCAGCTGGTGTGTTTCAGGACAAACTGATCCTATTTCAGCATCCCTGAGTAACATACTGTCATTTCTTGCTGATTGTTTTGACGACGATCTTCAATATCGATCCATCAATGTATTGCGTTGTGCTTTGTCTTCCACACATCCCAAGATTGATGGATATGCGGTGGGGCAACACCCTTATGTTCTCAATCTCATGAGGGGTATTCTCAACAATCGGCCCCCCAAACCGCGTTATTCATATACATGGGACGTTCACCAGGTAACAGAACATATGAAACAGATGGGCAGCAATTCTTTGTTATCGTTAAAGCAGTTTCGCAAAGATGTTGCTTTGTGTCCGGTGGACTGCCTTAAAACTTATTTGTCCCTCACAAAATGGTTTAAGCCACCGTCAGCGGAAGAACCTAATATTCTCTTTATCTTGCATATTAAACCTCATCGTGCAGTGACCACTGTTGCTCGTTGGATTCATTCATTTTTGAAAGAAGCGGGGGATAAGAAGCGCTATACGTCTGTCTTCAAGACACATTCAGTCAGAGGCACAACCACGTCCACAGCAGCCAAAGCCTTTGTGCCATTGCACAGAATTTTAAACATAGCGGATTGGTCTAATCCATCAACTTTTCAACAGTTCTATTATAGACCATTTTCTCAACAAGCTTTGGACATGCAGTACTTTCGTAATTATTGTTGTTCATTATGTTATCGAGGCGTGTAAATATACTTGTTTATATATATTAAAATATATATATATATATTAAACGTTTTAACATTTACCTCCCTTCGTTACTCATCGAGTGTTGAAATCTACCGCTTGTATTCTCATATATTTCGACCGGAGTTCATGAAATATAATTCCAATTATACAAAGGCTGTAAGCCTGTTAGTATAATTGGGGTTATATGAGTGAACATGTATGAGTGAACATATATGAGTTCCCACCCAGGTATCACTGATCAATAGATCAGTGTCCTGTACCCTCCCAGAGTGGTGAACACACTTGGTGTTAAAAAGCCACTGGAGGATTATGGGATGGCACCTTGGGGGTGTAACATCTACATTTTTGTTTACTTTGTGGGTGACCCCTAATGTTAAAAGGTGATCTGAAGCACAAATAGGTAAGCTATACCGCTTGTATTCTCATATTTCTCCCTTCGTTCACTCATATAACCCCAATTATACTAACAGGCTTACAGCCCTTGTATAATTGGAATTTCTATAGCAACCCAGAGCATTGGACTAGTTTTAAGTTTTGTGTGTGTTTTGATGTTATATACTCGGTGAATATAATGTTTTTAATGTTACTCTGAGTGTATATATACACCCCACCGGGCACACAACGTTGTTTCAACGTTGAAATTTGGTAGAAAAAAGGTTGCGATGTCCACAACCTAATATCTACGTTGCTCTGACGTTGTTTTGCAAACATTGGTTGAACAGCAGCCAACAGACGTTGAATTAACTCCTTTTCGACCGGCCCGTGAAAACTATTGCAGATCTGCAATAGTATTTTGGAGGTTCATATCTTCGGTTCAGTACATGCTACTTAGATGAAAATACCACCATTCGATTCAGCGAAATAATATCTCCTGATTCCTAGTGATAGTTTTAGTCAAACACAAATATTATAGCGATTTATGACCTTTGAAGGGTCGAGAGGTATCATATTTCAACAAATTACATATTTGTTCTAAAAATGTAAACAATGTAGCACTAAAACCATGCCTTTCGCTGGACACATCTTTGGCCCCTTCGAACATGTGTTTTTTTCATTGTAGTCTTGTTTGATTCACAATCAAAAACACTATTTACAGTGTTATTTTGAGGCTTGTAACCTCGGGTTTTCATCTTTTATTTCGATATTTCATTCTGTTGCAATGTTAGTGAAGTCAGCGGGATATTTTTTGACCGGAAATGCGATTTTGCAGAACTGCAATAGTATTTTGGAGGTTCGTATCTTCGGTTCAGTACATGCTACGTAGATGAAAATACCACCATTCAATTCAGCGAAATAATATTTCCTGATTCATAATGATAGTTTTAGTCAAAGACAAACACTATAGCGATTTATGACCTTTGAAGGGTCAAGACGTATCATATTTCAACAAATTACATATTTGTTCAAAAAATGTAAACAATTTATCACTAAAGCCATACCTTTTGCCAGACACAACTTTGGCCCCTTCAAACATGTATTTTTTTGTTGTAGTCTTGTTTGATTCACAATCAAAAACACTACTTACAGTGTTATTTTGAGGCTTGTAGCCTCAGTTCTTCGTCTTTTATTTCGATATTTCAACCTGTTGCGATATTAGCGAACTCAGCGGGATATTTTTTGACCGGAAATGCGATTTAAATTCGCCAAAACATCGTGTGTTTACATCCTAGCGCTCGGGAAACGCCGGAAATGGTCAAATTACATTTGCAGCATGATTTGCATGTGCATCGGCCTTCGGGTACTTCTTATTCGCCAATTTTAGCGTGTGGCACACGCGTGCGAGAAAAACCAAGAAAACCCCGATATTTTTAAAAACTCAAAATAAACATTTCTACTGCCTGTATTCAAATGAAATTTTGGATATAAAAGCGCTTGAATACAAGGAATATTTCACTCTTATTGATTTGAGCCGAACTCTGAAGAATGCACAAGTTATTTACGCTATTGTGGAAACGAAATCCTGAAATTTTAGCCAAGCAGTGAGGTAATATATGATTGTTTCGGTTTGTGTAATGCTTTGACGGCATTCGACCCCCCGTTGAAAAGGTTATTTCATTAGGATTTCAATGGTATTCTTTGTTTTAAAGGGGGGTGAATACGCGCTGAGATATTTACGTTATAAACAATTGAGTTGTAAAATCGTCAAAATGTTGCTTGTCGATAAAGAGTTAACGTTCATTCATGGTTAAATGTACAATGTCGATTTGTGAACCAATCTCAACGTTGCTTTAACATGGATTCAATGTTGAATTATGGTTGACGAGATTGGCAACCTAATTTCAACATTGTTTCAACGTCGAAACAGTAACGTCGATCCAATTTGCATAGTCAACCCTTTTTCAACGTCTATCCAACGTCTGGAAGGTCATTTCCATAATAAATATAAACGTCATTTTGCCCGCTGGGACCGGGCAGGCTAACAAGTTAGCCTGACCACGGTGAAAATCGAACCTTTGGGATAGTAGTTCAAAGCTCGGCCAACTGAGCTAAGAGGCAAATACCAGTGAATATATTCACCTGAGTACATTACATCAAAAAACAGAGAAAAAATACCAGTGTGGATTGTTGTCTGCATATATTAACTTTCCAGCAGCAATAGCATGCCAACCGACTTTTATGGATGACTGTTTATATCTCCAAAATATGTCTATTGTTAGCACAATATGAAATAATATCCTACAGGCCAACTCATATATTCACCTGACTGTGTCCTCACCTCACAATTTTTTTTCTTTTTATGCAGTTATGCAGTTCTGACTGAGTACAATCTTAATCATCAATACAAATGAACATGGTGTCATCTGAAGCGGATGTATTAAACAAAAATGTCAACAAATAGATTTCGACTTCCCATCAGCAGATTGTTCGGTTGTTCTGATGGGGTAGCTTCGAAGGTGCCATTAAAACGATAATTGGGACAAAAACTGACTTAGTATTTCTATTTCTTGGGACTGAATTTATTTTAATTTCGCTTATTTCTTTATCAGTAACTTCCACAAAACCA